ACAGCATTTAGATATTTTAAAAGACACGATATTTTAATGACCCAAAAGTGTCAACAACATGTTTTGGTGTTTACAATCCGTGCATTTTGATTGGATATGTGATAATATGTAACCAATGAAAAAAACACGCTTTCTTAGAAAACGTTTGTTTATTATGAGAAAGGAGATATTTTCATGATAATAGTGACAACAAATCGGAATATGGCCATGACAAATCGAAATGACAAGATTCTGAGATATGTTTGTTCTGAGTCGGAATCTTGGGGGGAGATTTTGCCCATACACAAAAGGCAAAGTACAATATCTCATTGCATAGTACAATTGGTTGGACTAGATCATGTGTAATTGTTTCACTCCTAACCATGGAATATAATCACCTGCAACTTGGATATATTTTTTTACTATGATAAGTGATGACACAAAGAAGGTTTATTTACAGTATACAGTTTTAGCAAATTTTTCTCAACTGTTCAACATTCAAACAATCAGACAATGAGGTTTGAACGGTAATGTAACGATTCGCCACACTAACGATTCGCCACATAACGATTCGACACAGAGTAATAACGATTCGCCACAGTTAAATAACGATTCGCCACGTGTTCAAATACAATTTTTTTCACACCTGTTTTCAAACTGTTGATGGAAAACGTTTTGCCATTTTATATTTCATTTGTTAATTACATAAATTAATTATACTAAATACAGCTTTTATTGAATAAAAAGACACGAAAACCAAATATTTTATTAACAAAATTACATAACACAATTCATAACTTCGTTATTTATATAAACTGGAAAAATATACTAACAACTTTTATAGAATAAAAATACATGAAAATAAATATATTTTATTAACAAAACTACATAACACATTTTATAACTTCGTTATTTATATAAACTGGAAAAATATAATAACAACTTTTATAGAATAAAAATACATGAAAATAAATATAATTATATATAAATTTAATCAATTATTGTAAATCAATTTTCGTAATGATCACATGTTTTGCAATACTTTTTTAAAAAATATTTGACATTATTTGACATATATATAATTTATGAAAAATGTATTTTTATAAATATATATAAATATATATTCTATTTTTTTCAACATATAATTACTTTCTTGTAAATGTACTCCTGTAATAATGTTACTTTGACAAATTGAAATTCCGTGATGGGGACCTTAACTTCATATTACTTGTATTAAGAAACATTATTAAATTATTGTCATTGTCAAATTATTAAAACAAAAGGAAAAAGTTTGTTGATTACTAAAAAAATAATTTTTATAATCATACTGTGGCGAATCGTTATTTAACTGTGGCGAATCGTTATTACTCTGAGGCGAATCATCATGTGGCGAATCGTTAGTGTGGCGAATCGCTACTAATTCGTTTGAACAAGTAGAAATATTGACTTTGAAACTTATTCTGTGATTAATGATCAGGATATTGAATCATGATTACACTTTTGTGCAAATAAAGATGAAATTGAAAAAGCGAAATTTTAATACTTTATTTTATCCAGCGTAGGGTCGCGAGATCAGAAATCTCTTGTACCCCCTCAAGGTTTAAATAGATACTAATTGATATATTATAAGGCGAACAGGTTTATCAGAAATCCGGGTCAGCTCGGCCCTAAAACGTACTCAGCCCCCGAGTCAGCTTGGCCCTATTCCAACTCGGCACGGGTCAACTCGGCCCACTTTTCAATTATTAATATTTAGGTTTGTGTTATCACTATTTATTGTAATTATTGTAATTATTTATAATACGCCTATTGACAGTTTCTGAATAAGCAGCAGACAGGCTTTTCTTATCAGTAGAATTGCGAGTAAAGATAACCGACTGCGTATCTCACTGTATTTCTGACTTAAATACCTTCAGTGTCAAACAATGTGTTGAAATATATATTGTTATGGGCTATTATTATCAATCAGTGTGTATGTTAAGGATTATACCGATTAATTAGGTGATAATTATGATTGACTCATTCATTCATTTGATTAGTGACCACCTGCAATTAATGCCAGACTTCTGCTAACGCTGAGAGATTCCAAAGACGAGAAGATCAGCGGCGCTGGCATCGAGGTTAGGACTGGGCGAAAGTGGTCAGTGAGTCGTGCGGTGGAGCTTGCAGAGAGCAGTCTCAAGCACCAAGACATTGTGGGTATGACAAACATAGGAAAAGAAGGACTAGGCACCAGGAAGCACCAAAGATGGGAGACTTCAAGTCTTCAACACAGCAGGAAAGAAGATCCCTAGTACAGACCGAGATCAGGAAAGAAGCAGAGCAGGAAAGAATGTCAAGGGCAGTCCAGCTAGGACCACAGGGAAACTGGACAAGATGGCAGGTTCCAGAAAGGAAATTATCCTGGCAAGAGATCTGGCAGTAACGAGCCACTCAGACTGAGTTTCCTGCTTCGTTCTATCTACGACATGCTCCCATCTCCTACCAACCTGTACCAAGTGGAAGCTGATTGACGACCCGGCATGTCCATTGTGTGGTTCACCAGGATCACTCAAACATGTACTCTCATCATGCCCCACAGCCCTATCTCAGGGGCGCTACAGATGGCGTCATGACCAGGTCCTGTCTGAGGTAGCCCACGTCCTTGAGACCGAAAGGAAGAAAGAGAGACCGAGGCCAAACCAGAACCGCTACATCGGGTTCCTGAAGGAGGGAGAACAAGTACCCAAGTCAGCCCCAGCATCGACCGGAATCCTGAATGAATCCAGGTCATGGGAAATGAAGGCTGACCTAAAGGAACAACTACAGTTCCCCCAGGAGATCGCCCAGACTACCCTCCGGCCAGACATTGTGATATGGTCCAGGAATCCTAAACGAGTGGTGCTGGTTGAGCTGACAGTCCCATGGGAGGAACGCATTGAAGAATCCCACAAGCTCAAGAGGTCCAAGTACGAAGACTTGGCCCAATCCTGCAAGTCCAACGGCTGGAACACTCAGGTCTTCCCGATTGAGGTCGGATGTCGTAGCTTCCCATCACAATCAGTGTGGAGGATGCTCGGAGCATTGGGCATCAAAGGAGCGGCACGAAAGCGCACAGTCCATGCTCTGGGGAGAACAGCCGAAAGAGCTTCCAGTTGGCTATGGATGCTCCGTAGCAAACATGAATGGCAGCCAAGGTAGACGGGGTAGGGCCTGATCAACCCTACCTGCTCCGCCATCCCGAGGGTGTCCCGAGTGTAAATGGAGCGAAACACCTGCAGACGGATGGTAACTCGGCTGATGACGACTACCTTCAGCAGGACATCTGTTATTCAACTCTAGAAGCTTCTGGTATGAAGTAAACACGTTTTTGTTTCATATTTTTTTGAACATTACTTTACAAACAAAATGCCTCTAAGGAAACACATTTTTATTAGATCGATCTATATTAATTTTATCGAATCTGCGAGACAAATAAATAAAAAAAAATCTAAATGTACTTATTTCGGCAGAAGACAAGTATAATTATATAATAATAAGATATTTCTCATTATTCATTTACCTTAACAACATGCAAAGCAAAGCAAAGCAAAGTTAATACGTTATATCTATTTTTGTTAAGTGGGCCGAGTTGACCGAATGTCAGACGTTTCACTCCCAAGACGTTTCACTATTGAGACGTTTCACTCCCAAGACGGTTCACACCTAGACGTTTCACTCCCAATTTGTCATTTGTATGGACGTTTCACTCCCATTTTTTTTCTAGATATTTACTGGAAAAGTTAATCATTTTTATTTTTATTATTTTGGGGAAATTTAATTTAATGTTTCATTTTAATGCTTTTTGGTGTATTGTTAATAATAATTTATGACTTTGACGGTAAAAAATATTTTTTTATGAAATGTTACAGAATGTGTAAATAATATCATCTATACAGTATAGTAACAGCTCAGAAAAGTTAATTTTGATCTGTTTACACAGTGTTGTTGAATTGTTCCTGTTATTAGGAGTGAATATATTGGTTTCATATGATAAATTATTAGGTGATTACTCATTTAATTATGGGTTGGATGATGAGAGGTTTAAATGAAAGACAAATTTCTGAAATTTAATTTTTATTTTTAGAATAACAACATGAGAAAATTCTATTTATAAATAATTAAAAGAATAACATAGAAATGATAATTTTTATAAACAACAGTATCAATGAATATTGAAATCACTACCATTACATTTATCAATATTGTTATATAAAAATCGTAGCAATAAGTGTTTCATTTAATAGAAAGTTGATCATGATTTAACAAAGAAATGATGAAATTTACTTGATATAACTAAGAAATTTTACTTTAGTACACATTTTCATATTATTTTATTAGATTTAAAAAAAAAATAGCAATTGAAATGATACTTGTTTAATTAATTATCAATAAGAAAATTTAATCAAATTAAAAAAAAATGACAATATGTACAACAAATATATTTCAATAACAGACAATAAAGACATGACAATATGTACAACAAATATATCACTTTTCACTCACTTTTTTGTAATTAGCATATTTTCACTAGGCGAAGCTTAATCTGAATAAGCAGTTTTTTAGCACGTGTTAACATTTACTTGTTTCATGGTGCATGTCAGTTCAATCAGACACTGATTCACTTAAAGCCTAGTTACAACTGACTCTTCATTTGTGGATGGAGGTTTCTCACATTGGGGTCCATAGGCATCTGCACATTTGTTTAGAAGTTCACTGGTATTGATGTTGTTTGCACAATATTGTTCCCAAAGAGCCCTGATTTTCTCCTCAACTGCTTTCACTGATGTTCTAACACGACGTGTTGAGATACCTTCACGAAGATGGCGAATTTCATACGCAATTGACTCTGCCTCACTTTGCAGTGCTGGCACTAATCTATAAAATGTGAGTGGTTGGTACCCTGCTTTCCTGTTCAATCTATGATGCCAGCCTGCAATGGAAATGATATTGTTAAAACAAACCTTGACATAATCAGTAAAAACGCTGTTGTCCTGCAAGTACTAGGCTAGTGGCACCTGCTTCTCAACATTATTTACTTTCACGAATCCATGTATGGAAGACAACTGTCCTGACTCAAATGGTTGACCAACTACTTTAAAAGTCCCATCCATGAACCACCGTTTAGTGTTACTAAGAAGCTCTAGTTGTTGCTTGGTGGCAAACACAAGATGACGCGCAGATCCATTTGTAATGTCAGCCACAAGGAAGTCTTTACATTTCAAGAAGCACTCATCCACTTCAAACTGAAGGTCCTTAGGCTCTGCAGGACGTAGGGTACAGCGGTATCTGTTAGCCTTCCTAGCTAGACTAGATGCTAGTGGTAATCCAGGTTGTTCAGGAAGTATAGAATTATCCCGAATTTCTGTACTAATTTCAGTGGCACTTTTGTAGGGGTTGGCACTAGCACTGGTTTTTACTTGAACACTGACACTAATTTTTTCTTTCAGAGACACTTTAGGGCCATGCTGGTGAGATGTATGTCCTCTTACAAATTCACTGCCCTTTTGAATCACTGTAGCGTAGCATCTTACTTTTAATGAACGGCTCGAACAAATCCATAGCACAGACTTCTTTTGATTTTTTTTTACACTGTAACGGAATCCATCAGAAGACACAAGTAATGGTTTCCCACGTTTACTACCTTCAGGGAACACTTCAAATGTAACAGTCTCTTGTTCATGTCCTATTACTGATGTTGATAAGACTTCATCAGGTTGAGAGGTTTCATTTGTTTCTGATTCAATCAAGATTGAGCGATCAATATTATGTGGGTGGATAAGTCCAGCATTCACAGAAATGTTAGTATCCTCATGGTAATCCTCACAAGAGTCCCTTAACACAGAATCTGTCTCCATTTCTGAGGCTTCAGACAGAAGAGAAGTTTGTACAATGAATGTTGCCCCATGTTGGCCAGTTGTCTCATCTGATTGCTCACACGATGTACATATGAATGGAATGTCAGCATTTGACTTCACAGCTTGACGATATTCCTCCTGTGTGATACCTAGAAAATTATTTATTAATTATTATTTTTGTTGTAAATAAGCAATTAAAACTTTCTGAATATTCTCTGGCAAATTAAATTATAAAATTTATGTCAAAGCAGACCAAATAAATATTCCTAGGACGGAGAGAATCTGTTTAAATTGTAATTCTAATATGATCGAAAATGAATATCATTTTTTACTTATATGTCCAAAATTTAGAAAACTACTTAGAAAATATCTAAAACGTTATTATTATACCTGGCCTAACTTACAAAAATTCAAAAACTTGTTAAGTGAAACTAACCGAAAAATTATTCAGAATCTATGTAAATTTATATATCATGCTAATGTAATGAGAAACTAACAAACATTCTTTTATGTAATAAGCTCTTCAGAAAACTTTAGTTAATACTTTTTTCTATAAACATATAGGTAAAACCCATACATTTCCATTGTATTTTATATATTTTGTTTGCTATAAATATGTCACATGTTTTATGAAATAAATATATTGAATTGAAAAAAAAATATCTTAATAACTTTATCATTATGTTATAATACTTATTATGCATGTATATTTGTAAGGCCACTTTTTAAATTAAATTTAATAAAATAATATTTTCATTACCATCTTAATAAAAGTAAAGCCATGTGGAAATAATGTCATTAACTTGATATCAATTTCATTTTTATTAAAATTATATTTTTTTAAATAAAAATATTCATATTAACTATATATTTATATACTTATTAATTTCTGTAAGATTAAAACAATGAAATGCAAAAATTGTGTCCAAAATTATTTATTGATAAATAATTGTTTCTTTATTAAACAATATACATCATACACACTTCGGTAATTGTGGTGTTTAAAGTAATCTCATCACCTAATTAGTTGTATAAACACTGATATATCATCAACTAACAGTTTGACATCACTATTAATCAATTGTATAAACATCCCTATTAATCAATTGTATAAACACTGCACTTTAACATCAACTGTTAACTAATAGATCTGTTGTGTTTGCTAATCAGTTTTTAATCAGTTGCTAATTGGACCATTAAAACAAATTATGTAAAAAAAAATATTTTTATAACAGAAACTTATCCATAAGTTTTGTTTATTTAACTGAAAAAAATTAAACAGACAATAAGATATAAATTAATTTTTATTCATTTTAAATCAAATGATGATTTGCAGAACTTACTTATATAGTATACTTAATGCAAAGAATATCGCCTATAAATTCTTATCATAAACAGTTTTTTAGAACTATAAATTAGTAAATATTACATATTTATATTCCGTCAAACAAATAATCCCCCCATGCTCCAAAAAGGAAAGAATTAAATTAACAAGAACATAATAGTTTAAATTTGTTTTCAACATCTCTATTATTTTTTAAAATTAAA